TGATTGCATTCTATCAGTCTTTTTGCAAATGGTGCATTTTCTTATATTCATATCTCATTCTATTCCATCCATTCCATTCTTGAGGTTGCAATTGTGATTGCAATTGATTGTGATTGCTTTCATTTCTATACTTCCATAGCCGTAGCTCTCTGGGCAGTGTACGTACACTCTTGACCAATCCTACCTGGTACTGTCAGGATTCCTGGCCTATTATGATAGCAAGGCTGAAGAGGAAAAAACTATGTTTCTCACTCTCTTGCTATCTACCAGGCACCACTTGCAGTTTCAGCAAGTGTCCTACACGAAATTGTTGTTGCTGTTAGTTGTGAAGTCATGTCCAACCCATTGCAACCCCATGGACAACATTCTTCCAGGCCTTCCTGTCCTCCACCATCACCCGGAGTCCACTTAGGCTCACACCAACTGCTTCAGTGACTCCCTCTAGCCCCCTTATTCTCTGCTATCCCCTTCTTCTTTTGCCATCTATTATTCCCAGCAGTAGGCTCTTCTCCAGGGAGTCCTTCCTTCTCATTAGGTGGCCAAAGTATTTGAGTTTCATCTTCAGCACCTGGCCTTCTAAAGAGCAGTCAGGGTTGATCTCCTCTAGAACTGTCTGATTTGATCGCCTTGCAATCCAAGGGACTCGCAGGAGTCTCCTCAAGCACCGCAAACCAAAGATCTCAATTCTTCGGTGCTCAGCCTTCCTCATGGTCCAGCTTTCACAGCCATACATTGCAACTGGGAAAACCATAGCCTTGACTATAAGCACTTTTGTTGGCAGAGTGATGTCTCTGCTTTTTAGTATGCTGTCTAGATTTGCCATAGCTTCCCTCCCAAGGAGCAAGTACCTTTTAATTTCTTGGTTGCAGTCACCGTCTGCAGTGATCTTGGAGCCCAGGAAAATAAAATCTGTCACTACCTCCATTTCTTCCCCATCTATTTGCCAGGAAGTGAGAGGACCAGATGCCATGATCTTAGTTTTCTTAATGTTGAGTTTCAAGTCAACTTTTGTGCTCTCCTCTTTCACCCGCATCGAGAGGCTCTTTAGTTCCTCTTCACTTTCTGCCATTGGAGTGGTATCATCTGCATATCTGAGCTTGTTGATATTTCTCCCAGCAATCTTAATTCCAACTTGTGGTTCATCTAGCCCTGCCTTTCTCATGATGTGCTCTGCATATAAGTTGAATAGGCAAGGCGACAGTATACAGCCTTGCTGAACTCCTCTCTCAGTTTTGAACCTATCAGTGATTCCATGTCTAGTTCTCACTGTTGATTCTTGACCCACATAGAGGTTTCTCAAGAGTCAAATAAGATCATCCAGCACTCCCATCTCTTGAAGAACTTGCCACAATTTGTTGTGATCCACACAATCAAAGGCTTGTGATAGATAGTCAATGAAGCAGAAATAGATGTTTTTCTGGAACTCCCTAGCTTTCTCCATGATCCAGCGTATGTTGGCAATTTGATCTCTAGTTCCTCTCCCTCTTCGAAATCCTGCCTGTACTTCTGGTAGTTCTCAGTCCACATACTGCTGGAGCCTAGCTTGTAGGATTTTGAGCATAAATTTGCTAGCATGTGAAATGAGTGCAATATTGTGGTAGTGTGAACATTCTTTGGCATTGCCCTTCTTCGAAAAGACTGACCTTTTCCAATCCTGTGGCCACTGTTGAGTTTTCCAAATTTGCTGGCACATAGAGTGTAGCACTTTTACTGCATTGTCTTTTAGGATTTTGAATAGCTCAGCTGGAATACTGTCACCTACACTAGCTTTGTTGTTGGTCAGACTTTCTAAGGCATGAGAGCAATCAACAACCAACTCAGATAAGTAGCCTTCTGAGCACTGGATTCTCATATAATGCCCTGGGATATTGTAGAGTTTAAAGAGTGCGGCCATTTGGGGTGAGTTTGGGGAGGGAATAAGGCTCTGATTTACAGGATCCAATAGAGAGAAGTTCCTCCATGTTCCAACCAGTATTCCATCAATCAAATCTCAGCCCAGAGCTGGTGGGATGTATTTCTAAGCACATCCCTGGGGGAATCTTGTAACTGTTAAAAACATGAGCCATTTGGATGGAGTTTTGGGAGGTGAGACCATCAACCACAGCCATTAACCTCTTTTCTCTCCCACAGTTGTAATTGGGAAGATCGCCTTCTCTGGTAAAGAAAAGACTCAACAAATTCCAACAGGTTTCGCTTGGATCAAAAGCATTCTCATAAATCTTAGACCCTCGTGTGGTGTTGGGTAGCAGTTCTGGATCCTTGTTGATCTGTTTGATGGCAAATATGAAGGCATGGATGTGCTAGATGTTTTTTGGAAATAAGCTGCAAGGAGAATGTAACACTGCCTTATATCTTGACAGGAGAGAACCAGCTGCAGTAGGCTGGCTTGGCAATTTGCCTCTCAGTGCAAGTTCAATATTTCCACAAGAGCATGGCTGATCAGGGACTAGAGCCCAGCTTGCCCTAGTCCCAGACCTGCACTCTTTGCCACAACAGCACACAGAAAGATACACTTAAATCATTTTGAATAAGGAAGGTATTAGAACAGAGGCTGGAAACTCCAAAATGTTTGAAAGGCGGTCAGTGCAGGGGAGATGATCGGTTCTCAGGAAAACCCTGCGGGATGATTTGGCCCCATTGTAGATTTTAGTCTAAAGAATCAGAAGATGGCATTTGCAGTTCAATTTTCAAAAAGCTCCACAATGCACATGACGTTCAATGATAGGACACTTACAGATCCTGCCAACAGAATGAATGTCATGCCCCATTTATTCCCTTTAGTCCTTCAGCTCTTACTGACATTAGAATCACATCTCATCTTGAAGTGCTGGTAGCTCTTATTTCTACCAAGCGGAATGAGGAGGGGAAAGATACTGAATATCTTACCTGAGGTTAAGAAAAAAGATCCTTCTACTGAAAAGTAGCAATTTTTTTACTTATGCTAGGATACCACTTTAACAAAGAAAAAGCAAATCACAGCACAGCAAGACTTACACACTATGGATTGCAAAGGATTCCGGGTAGTTCCTAAAGTCCAGGTCAGTCATGTTTTCAATTGCAAGAGATACAAATTCACTGATGATTATCTCATTTGAAGGGCTATATAAATCAGATTGCAATTTGGCGGCTGAACTACAAATGGAGGTACTCAAACTCTTGGTGGCAGAAGAACTCAACAATTGCATGAACAAGATCAACCGGAATGTTGAAAGATCTGGGGTCAAGCCCCACCTGGACCACTCCATGGCTTCCAATGGCCACCAGTCTCAGTCCTGGCAGAAAAGAAAGAAACGCTCAGACTGACAGAGCTTGGTCTGCCTCACAAGTACACCCCAGACCAGGCTGGAGCAAACTGCCCTGACAGGAGCCTATGCAGACATCACAGGGAATATCATGCTTTCAGTATATTGTTCTTGCTACACAATTTGCTCTGGGCCTGTGATCCCCCATGAGGCTATTAGAAATAGTACTACTGATGACATTAATTTTAATAATTTCATAACATGTCATCAGTTCCCCAAAAGTTCTCAAGTCTCAGGGACAGAAAATAAGTTTTGTCTCACCAGGCATACCTCTCCCAGTTATGCTGGAAATGGTAGACTTGAGGGCAGAAGGCCAAACATGTCCAGGGTGCTGCCCTCAGGCACCACTTCTTGAATTCACTGCTTTCTTGTGATGAGCAGGAGAGGCAGATATAATTCAGGAACAAACAAAACTGAAAGGGCTGGTCTAGCAGCAGAGTTGATGCAACAGACCCTGCTCTCCTCCCCTCTCCTCTGCTGCATCCTGGTGCAACTCCTGCTGCTGGCTCACTGCTGGGGAAGATCCAGAGTAGGCAAACTTCAAGTTGAGCCTTTAACATCATGGAGCTCCAGTCTTGTTACTTCCAAGGGGCCCAGCCTATGTATAACTATGTCTGACTCCACTGCAAAAGCAACTGACCTCCAAGCAGAGGCATGGATGTGTCCCTGCATCAAACTTACCCCTCACTACAGCCTGATGGAAGAGAGCACAGGTGATTTGCACCTCGTGTTAAGTCACCATTCAAATGAGCCATTTTGACTTGTCAATTTCCTTGTATGTTGCTTAATTGTCAACCCCATTGATAGCTGAAAAATACAAAGGAATTGACAGCGCCAGGCTATGCATATCAGAAAGCCAAATTTCTCACACACCTGAAAAAGATCAGGAAGAGGAAGAGGAAAAAGATTTTTTTAAAAAATATAACCCTATGTGCATACTCCTGAAATGCCAGCAAAATTAGAAGTGATTGACAATGCGTCAAACTTCACTCTGGCATTGAATAAGGAGCAGTGACTACCCACACAGGATGGGGCATAAGTTGGGGGAACACCTCCCACACACACAAACTGCAGCATGGGTTTTGTCATTCACAGCAAGCCACTGTATAGCCATTCACAACGATTCATGAAAAACAGCTCTGTTGGTCAGCTTCCACAAGAGGTATCCATGGTTATCAACAATCTTTAAAAAAAATAGCCATGTGCACTTGTGGGTGGTCTGTTCATGGCTAATAAGGCAAATTGTAGAAACTGAGCCAGATCCCAGCACACGACAATCCTCTGCAGTTGAACTCCAGGTATGAGTTCTTGTGTCATGAGAACCAGGCCGTCTGCATGGAGGAGGGGTCCTCCATCTGTTGAGACTCAGTCCAGCCAAAGAACCTCACTTCACATGCACGGCTACCTAGGAGGGAAGAAAGGAAACCACTTTTCTCAAAGGTGAGATATGCTTTATTGAATCCAAAGTGCGAGCAGAATATCAGCAAACAAGCACAAGAAAACTCACACTGCCCATACCTGCAGTTGCACTGCTTTTCCAAACATGACAGCAATCTTCTGCAGGCCTCCAAACTCTCCTGGATGATTAGGAAGTTGAGTCTTCATCCTCAGCTGAGAAACACACCTCTTGTCACAAATCTTAAAAAGTTCTCCTCATACTCTGTCAGATGGATGAAGTACATTTTTTGGTGATCCAATGCTGCTGCTGGTTCCCCCTAGGAAACTACCAGGGATGGGCGTCTGGCAAGGTATGCTAATACTGATAACTTCTACTCTTCAAGTATGTCCACCAGCCTTCCTTGGTCTGGATGGCAGCCACAAGATAGCCATACATACATGCAGAGAGCACTTGACTCTGGTTAAAACAGTTTCATTGGCTACCTGTTTGGAGCAGATATTCAAAATTTTGCTTGTGATTCACAAACAATTGGGCACCACACTATTAAAAAGAGAGCATTTTGCCACATGAGCCTTCCTACATTTCAATGGAATGCCCTTCCTAGGAAACCCCAAAGTTCAACCTCCCCACTCTATTCTAGCCATGCTTCTTCCTGACTAACTGCTCTCTCGTATTCAGTTCTGGCCTAAATATTACAATGAAAAACTTGGGCAGGAAGATAAAACCCAATATGCCGGCCCCAGAAGCCAAGATGGAGAAGATCTCCACAGCCACCATGTACTTCCCCTTGGTGCTCAGGTAGGTGGGCACAAAGGACACCCACACACTGCAGAAGACCAGCATGCTGAAGGTGATCATCTTGGCTTCATTGAAGGTATCAGGCAACTTCCTGGCAAGGAACGCCACAGTGAAACTGAGGCTGGCCAAAACCCCCATGTAGCCCAGGACAATGTAGAACATGAGGAGGGAGCCTTCATTGCATTGAACTATGATCAGGTCATCTTGAGAGTGCACATCAAACTCTGGGAAGGGGGGAGAAGTTGCCAGCCATACAGCACACATGCCCACTTGAAACAGAGAACACAGAACGATGACCAAGAGAGCGAATTTCTTCCCAAAAACCCATTTCCTCAGCTTGTTTCCGGGTTTTGTCGCCATGAAGGCCAGCACCACCGTGATGGTCTTTGCTAACACACAGGACACAGCGATGGAGAAGACAGTGCCAAACATGGTTTGCCGCAGGAGGCAGGTTATCTTCCTGGGCCTCCCTATGAACAAGAAGGAGCAGAGGAAGCAGAGCAGCAGGGAGGCGAGCAGGGCACACGTGATGGTCCAGTTGTTGGCCTTGACAACAGGTGTGTTCCAGCGCACGCTGAAGCCCCCAGTCATCATCACTGTGAGCACACAGAGCACAAGGGCTAAGGATGCCAGAACGACCCCCAGGGGCTCCTGGTAAGAGAGGTAGCTGATCTCTTTGGGAACACAGTGGTTCCGCTTCTTGTTTGGACGCTGATCTTCTGAGCACTTCTCACAATGGACTGAATCTGACAGTACAAAGCAAATTCTCAGCATGGCCAGAAGGCACCAGAATGTCACTTCCCTGTCATGTGGCAGCAAACAAGCCACATTAACCCACTTTCTCTGTTTACAATCTACAAGATGGTGCCTCTCCGGCTTGCATTAGAAATGCAGTCCTAGGCAAAGAAGACGACCTTTTTATAGGATCTGACTTTAACTTCTCTTCCTTTTCCAAGTAGCTGTAGATCCTGTCACTTACCCAACAGGAAGGAAATCTCCCCATGGGGGCACTCGAGGCAGCCATAGCAGCAGATTTGCTTCTCCTCATGGACAAGCATGCTCTGTCCAGGGCGACAGCTCTCCACACAGGTGGACCTGGGCATCATCTAAGGCCAACCAAAAGGATTAAACTGGCTAATTGGAAGAGGCCTTTGGAAGTGTGCTCTGGCTTCCACCTAAGGATAGATACTCTTTCCTTGGAAGGAACCAGGCCATCTTCTGAATACCATCTTTCTTTTTTGCATGCTTATTGTGCTTGTCAGAACTTCTGGCGAAATGTATTTATGGAACCTTTATGGAAGCATATATTATACAATAGTGGGCATGTCCAGTATATTCTGGTAATGCCTCAGACATCCTGGAGCCCAATGTCTGTCATCTGCTTTAAAAACAACACTAATGATACAGAGGAACATGAAAAGGAAAACTAACAAGCCCACCTGAGGAAACCTGTGATTCCACACAATGGCACTTTCATTAACAGTGAAACCATCCTCTGCAGGATCCATGGGGTCTACCCTCCCAACTTGGACTCTCTGGAATGAGCCATTGGGGAAGGTCACCAAGTTGATGAGATCGTATCCTCCTGCCAGCTCCCCTTTGCCATCAAAGACAATTTCTTCCCCTGCACTGTTATTGAAGTGGATATTTCTCAGAAAAGAGTGAAGCTGGATTGGAGGAAGAGAAAACTTTAGCTGTGCTCTTTTGTTCAGTCAAGTGATTGATCCTCCTGATTCAGGGGGTGGAATGACACATCCCACTAATCCACTGGGGATTATGCTTCAGCTATTGCATAGTACAGAAACAGGAAAGATGACTGAATAAATGAAGGTCTGCTATGGCTTTTTATTCCCCCCAGAAGGGCAACTGCCTCACCTCCTCCTGGAACTTGCAATGGGGTGGCTCATCCAGTGTCAGATAACATGGCAACCACCCCAAATGCAATAAGCCCTGCTCCCCAGGAGCCATGGGTTCTTTTCCAGCTGGCCTACAACCCTCAAAATGAAACTACCCAGCTGGAAGAGGAACTTGCAAGTGGCACAATTTGACAGATGTTCAGAAATGATCCATTGAAGCAGGCACAGAAGGTGGATAGTGAAATAAATATTCCAGTGGTGTGGTATCTCCATGACTTCACCTTAGCCCCTAAAGCTTTCATGGCCTGAATCCCCACATTGGCCTGCCCAGCCCAGTGACTGGGCTCCCAGGAGCACCAGTGAGCAGGTCTCCTGTCCTGCCCGTAGGGCTCCCCCTTTTAGATGGAGAATCAACCATTGGGCCTGGCTCAATTGCCTATTTCTTTATTTGCTTCCATGTGATGTCATCACCAGGACTTGCCTGTACCTGCCATGACTGAACTTGAGAAAGTTTCCAGCTTCCTTCATCTCTTCTTGAGGTCCCTTTGGCTCCCACCAAACCCATTGCTTGGAGGGCATATGCCACAGCATAGACAGCATTGTAGACATTGTAGCTCTGGCCGGACATGCCCAGTTCGAACACAGAGCCAGGAAGGCTCGCCAGCTTCTCCTCCCCTGTGCAGTATTCCTGGTCTGGAAGCAAAAGGGTATCATCTGGGAACGGACAGTTAAACGTCGTGAACCAGAAATACTTAATGTAATAAACATTTGACTGGTATGGATGTATTTTCTCAAGGAAGTCCTGAAATCCTGGCACCTTCTTTGTATGAAGAGTGAATGCCAAGGCTCCATGGAAGGACTTAGGCGTGAATTCTTCCCAGTCGGGTACAGCCGTGATATCCCATTCCGCTGTAGTGATCCACACCCTCTCTACAGGGCGCTTACGCAAAACTTCATTCCTGAACACAATTAGTCTGAGGCACTCCAGAGACTGATTGTCACCATGGACAAGGACCACATTGACCTCACTCGATACAAGAGCTGATTCAAGAGGTACCAACTTTTTGTCAAAGATTTCCACTGGTGAAAAGTTTGAGAAGAAGGGGATCACCTGTACCCAAGCAAGGCAAATCCTATTCTGCAAAAGCCTTGCTCTCAGGGTTCGAAGGAAGCTTTCTCCACTATCGTTGTCTGGAACCAAGAGGCCGACCCATGTCCACCCAAAATGCTTGACGAGCTGCACGATCCCAGCATACTGAGGACCTTCTTTTGGAACCATCTGGTAAAAAGAAGGAAACTGAACTTTGTCTCGCAACACTGGATCAAAGGAGCCATAGCTGAGCTATTGGGAAAGAGAGGATCGTGTTTAACGTCAGTGGCGGGAAAAATAAACATTCCCTTCTTCTAAATTTAACTGATTTGATGGGAATATCTGTCAAGCATTATGTCTTGTTCTCATGGAATAGGATTTTCTTGTGTTTTCTGATATCCCAGGCTTCAACTGCAATCACTCACTCAACTTATGAAGAGCAAGCACAACTGAACTCAGCAGAAGAACCCAGAATAAGCCATGCTGGATCAGACCAGGAGTCCATCCACTCCAACTTTCCACTCACACAGTGGCAAATCAGACGTACACAGGATCCCTCAATCAGGATAGGTACAGGATAGGTTCCACCTGCTGAAGCTCCTCAGCAACTGGTGTGTGCAGGGTGGATGTCTCTGGTAAAGGAGGCAGCAAATAGCCAGCAAGGCCAGTAGCCACTGAGAGCCTCCTCCACCACGAATTTGTCCAGTAGTCCAAATTGGTGGCCATTGGAGCAAGTTGGGTGAAGAAGTACATCCTTCTATCTGTATGAAACCTCCCACTATTTAAATTCTGGGATGATGCCACTGGATTCGAGTATGATGGGAGAGAGAAAGGTCTCCAGCCCCCTGAGTATTTTTGTTGCCCTTCTCCATACTTTTTCCGACTCAATAATGGCCTTTCATGAGTAAGACAATCAGAACTGTACATAGTATTAGAAACATAGAAACAGAGTGAGTCAGAAGGGGCCTCCTGGGCCATCTAGTCTGACCACCAGCTCCAGATGGCTCCGGTCACGACATGCCCACCATGTGCATGTCCAGCCTATCATTGAACACCCTCATCAATGGGGCTTCAATGACCTCTCGTGGCAGCCCATTTCACACTCTCGGGGTCCTAAGTGTCAGGAAGTGCTTCCTGGCATCCAAATGGAACCTTGGTTCCCTGAGCTTTGCTCCGTTGGAACACATTCAGCCTTCCTCTGCAGGGGAGAACAGGTCTCTACCCATCTCCATGTGACATCCCCTCACATACCTGTATGTCGCCAACATATCCCCTCTGAGTCTCCTCTTCTCCAGGCTGAAAAAACCAAGTTCCCTCAGTCTCGCCTCATACCCCTTCCCCTGCAAACCAGCCACCAACCTTGTGGCCCTACACTGCACTGACTCTAACCTGGCTATATCCTTTCTGTAATGAGGGGCCCAAAACTGAGCACAATACTCCCGTTGCGGGCGCACCAGAGTCATATAAAGTGGTACTAATACCTCTCTCTATCTAGAAGCCACACTTCTGGCTATGCAACCAAGGGTGGTGTTTGCCCTCTTGACCACCGCATCACACTGCTGACTCATGTTTAGCCTGCAGTCAACCAGTACCCTGAAGTCCCTTTCACAAGTGCTGCTCTTCAGCCACTTGTCACCTAACCTGTACTTATGACACCTTTTCCTATGCCCCAAGTGCAAGACCTTGCACTTATCCACACTGAATGTCATCCTGTTGTCTCCTGCCCACTTCCATAGTCTGTACCTGCTCCTCAGTTGTGACCACTGCTCCAGTTTTGGTATCATCTGCGAATTTGATCAGCAGACTGTTCACCCCTTCTTCCATGTCATTTATGAAAAGATTAAACAGGATCGGCCCCAGGACAGAGCCCTGGGGGACCCCGCTTGTCACTGGCTGCCATCCCAATGATTCCCCACTAATGGTTACCCTCTGCTTTCAGTCAGTCAACCATGCCCTAATCCACCAGACAGTGCATTGGTGTATCCCAAAACTCCTCAGTTTCTCCACCAGGATATCATGGGGCACTTTGTCAAAGGCCTTGTTGAAATCCAGGTAAACCACATCCACTGCATCCCCTCCATCTAGCCATCTCGAAACCTTGTCAGCATGGGCACACTTAGTTCAATCTTCAGTTCTCTTTGTAACATCTAACATGGAGTGGCTCCATGGGGCTTGATTCTGAGTATGCAGATATTGAACAGCTGTGTTAAGTGCTTGTTTTTGGAATCCCCATGGATGCAGGCAACGATGAGGTGAGAGGGTCAGGCTTAAAGAGTTGCCCTGCACTGTTTGGATGTACAAGCAATCTCTCTCATTGTGGTCAACTCTTTCTGGTCTTGCACATATACCTCAGGGAACTTGTATTATTAACAATTTCAGCCACGTGGAAGTAGTTTTCAGAGGTGTGAATGCCAACAACAGTCGTTCATTCATCTTTTCTAGCACAGTTGTCACCAACAGGAACCCCATATCACATAAAGAAACTATTCAGGGATTTCTTTGAGAAAGTTTTGATGCAAAAGCATTCTTATAATCTTGGATTCCAGCATGGTGTTGGCTCTATCTAATGCATACCTGTGGGACCTTGTGGGTATTTAAAATGTTGGCCACCTGGATAGAGTTCTTGGAGGTAAGACCCCCAACGACAGCCACTATTGTCTCTTTCCTCGCACAGCTGTAATTGGGACAATGCCCTTTTCCACTGGACAGGATGCTCACTATATTCATACTTGTTTCCCTTGAATCAAAAGCACTGTTATAAATCTTGAATCCCAGGGAGGTGTTGGGTAACAGCTCAGCTGCTTTGTTGATCTCGTTAATGGCAAACACAAAGGCAAGGGCATGCTGGTTGTTTTTAGGAAAAAATCTGCAATGAGATTGTCACATCCTCTGAAATGATTACATTGGAGACTCACTTTTCTAGAGCAGCTGTGATGAGAGGCTTTCTTCACTTTATCAATCTTGGGAAGCTGTTGGCCTGTATTCCAGCATTGGAAAGAGCCAGGGGCATAAGAGATATGATCTAAATACCCTCACATTTTAGCTTTAAGATCTTACTCTCAGAAATTATGCATGAGGAGGTACTTTCCAACCTTGCAGAATAGAAAAACAAATGCACAAAAGTGAGGCATCCTCCCAATGATGGGTGTTCAGTTAAATGGAAATCCAGAAAAGGGCATGAGCTTTCAGATTGGGCACCCCAAATGGTGGATTTGGCCCCTTTCCTGGGATGCCAAACCTCAGATTTTATCTAAATGTACAAAATCAGATAAGGGCATTGACAGGCCAGCCAGCCAGGAGGCAGGGGCAGGAAGGACTACTCACATACTATATACTGAAGAGAGATCTGGGTCTTCTGTAAACTCCAGTACAGTCAGGTTATCAACAGAAGTAGAAACCAATTCGCCAATGATGATCTTATCTAAAAGCCTATATGAATCATATCGTATTCTTGTCCAGCAACTACATATGGAGGAGTTCAGAATCTTGCTGAAAGAACTAAGCAGCAACAGCAGAAGTAAAATAAGATGGGATGTTGACAGATCTGGAATCCAAGTGGACCTCCTCATGACCACACTCAACATTAGGGGTGGAAGATATGGAAA